TGTATAACTACTTTTTTGATATAATGTATGATTGGCATTGTGGTTGTATGCATGAGTGTATACTAGCTTGTGTAGATTTGTTTTAACAGCCCAACTTATTATTGTCTTTCAAGATGATTATACTGCCAAAGTAAAATCTGGTGAACTAACAACCCAGTATGACGAAAATCTTTTGTCTTTAGCATTAGACGCTAAAAAAAGGCCTGGTCGGGTTTGTGGGGTTAGTAAATTTGTCTTGCCATCAACGTATTTTAGTAAACAACCAAAAACCTCACGAATGAGAAATGCATAATATGAAGCAATAACTGAGTAACAACAACAACAACTTAATGACTAGAAGCAATGCCTCAATGACCAATAGCAAAGACTCGCTACTTTGGAGTTCATGTTGACAGCAATGTAGCAGGTTATGCTAGTACCCCAGCCTGATAGCATCATCCCCGTACGAGAACTTTTGTTGCAAGTAAGAAAGCCATCCCATCATCCGCTACCACCCAAGAAGTATGATATTGTTTATAATTTGAATATTAATTTGTTTATTATATTGATTAATTTAGTTTTAATACTTATATTTCATTAAATATTATAAGAGGATGTTCAGACTCAAAGTCTAACCCTTGCCCAGGCCTCCATGGATGAGTTAACAAAATATTCACTGAAGAATTGTATTGGTGGAAACTTCATATCCATTGAGTCTGAGGAAGACTTATTTGATAAATAATCATTTTCTTTCATTGGTTGGATGAGATGAAAGAATTTTGTGAAATGGATGAATTATTAGTTGCTGAAATCGTTACTTATATGAGGTTAGCTTATAAATACAAATATGCACATTCAATATGTACTAAGTTAGTATTAGGGTATAATACTAACCGGTAGTGTTGATTATTATCGTGCAGCTTTCTGTATAGAAAGTTGAAGGAGAGACAGTTGATGAACAGATTTAAATTCATTGACCCCAACTTCATTAGTGACCAGAGTGACACAGTCGTGTATCATGCTAATCATGTGATCCTATGCATGAAAAGATCGATTGATTATTATTTGCTCCCGTACAATGCGCAATAAGCTATATTCCAACCTTAATTACTCCAACCTACTCCATTCTATGATCTAATGCGTATTCTGAGTATATCATTGTTATTATTTTGTAGTCGTCATTAGATGTTTATTGTGATTGACACCAAATCCTTAACGACATACTTTCTTAATTAAGTTAATCCAATGGCGATGCCTAACCTTGATATTCAAAATTTTATAAAGAGGTATTATAATACTTTATTATATTATATATGTTCTATTTTTTCATAAGAAATTTTATTTATGTTCTCACTAATATTTTTTTTTCAATTTAAGGTAATATCTGCATTCAATAAGAAGATAAAGAAACCAAAATGGGTGTCATTACCGGTAAATATCAAATTTATTCTTTTAATGTTGAGTTTGTGTAAATAAATATTTTCTAAATTGGCTCAATTTAATTTTCAGGTACTTCGTCAATTCGATAATATTGAATGTGGATATTATGTCTTTCATTTTATGTGGGAGATAGTGTTGCATGATTTTATGACCACACCATTCAAGGTTAGTATAAATTTCATAAACTCGTTATATATTCAAAAAAATAAAATGGTACATTATGTTCCAATTTCTTAACATTTACTTATGATATTTTTTTTAGTGGGAAGGTAAAAAAAGCTTCACAGAAGAGGAGCTGGATGAAGTCTGTAAAGAATGGTGTGATTATGTATTGTCATTTATCAATGTTAATAAACCTTCGAGTTAGACATTGTTGGTTGAATGTAAATATATATGGAATAAATTGTTATAATGTTTTTAACATGCCATGTTGAATGGAAACTTTAAGTTTGTACATTTGGGGTATTGGTTTAATATTATTGTTATACTTAATATGAATATACTATGTGTACTTATTAAATTGCTGAGTATGATTATTTCAGAAAAGTATATTAATATGGCAACGTTATCAGTTTTAATTTCGAGTGTATGGTCAATTTTTTGAAATACAACAATGTTCATTATGCAAATTCAAAAATGTAATTCATTGTATTAGATATATAAACTAAATGTTTTCTGGGCATAAATATACAATTGACAACAAACATTTTTCTAGGCATAAACCTACAATTGACTTCACATATAAAGTATAAATTATGTTTTTTTGATGCAATTAATGAAGGCGTTTTTAGCAAGAAAATACATTCAATCACCCCTAACAAAAAACATTGAAGGCGTTTTTTACCAAAATCACCTTCAATAATCCCTCCAAGAAATTATTGTTTGGAAAATTAAAGGCATTTTGGGCAAAAAATACCTTCAATAATACCAACTAAAAATTAATCGAATGGATTATGAAAGGTGTTTTCGTATGGGTAACGCCTTCAATAATCCCAACAAAATGTTTATGAAGATGTTTTTAGATATAGTCGCATTTAATAATCCGACCATTAAAATTTATCGTTGGGAATATTAAAGGCATTTTCGAGCCAAAAACGCCTCCAACCATCTCATCCAAGTTTTTTTTATGGAATATTGAAGGTGGTTCTTACAAAACTGCCTTTTAAAATTTTAAAAAAAAAATTTACTGATTGGATTATAAAAGGCGAGTTCGACCAAAAATACCTTCAAGAGTCGACTCCATATTTTTTTTATCAATTATTAAGGGCGTCTCTCCACGAAAATGCCTTTAATATTCTATGAAATTTTTTTTAAAGCAATTGGTGAATGTATTTTTACCAAAAAATGCCTAGAATAATCAATAACAAATAATCGTGCCTAAACCCAAAAAAAAGCTAAAAGATGGATCAAACCAACAACCTTATGATAAACATCCGTATGAGCTAAACAATTTGATAAGCTTAATATTGAAAGAATTTTTGCAAAAAATAAATTTAATAAGCTTGGAGAAATTGTTAGTTTGAATATTAAAGGCGTTTCTTGTAGACAACGCCTTCATTAATCTCATACAATTTTTTATGACGTGATTAGTGAAGGCGTTGTCTGCCAAAAAACACCTTAACTATTCAACGAAACTTTTAATAAAAAAATATTCAAGGCATTTTAGTTGAGAAACGCCTCTAATATCAAGTATTCAGTGACGTTTATAAGTAACAATATCGCTATTTTAATATTTAATGGCGTTTGGATAATAAACGCTTAAAATTTTATAAAAACACAAAACCTAGCGACGTTTGTAAGTAAAAGGCCGTTACAAAACTGCTGCTAATACGCCATTTTGCTGTAATGCTTGAAATAAGTTCAAAACCAATCAATTTTGAACTTGGATTAAATAAGATCTCTATAACGACACTTAAAAACCCAATCCCTAATGAATTCCCCCGCCCACGTGTGTTTCACTCTTCCCAAATTTTCTCCCTCCTCCCTTATTGTCTTGATCTTCCCATTCTCGTTTCTCACCTCATTCTCAGTTCTCATCCCCTTACCTTTTTCAAAATTTGTCCCCTCATCCCCATAGTTTCAATTCCCACACTATTCTGGATCATCTTGTTCTCACCTCAATTTCAGTTTTCATCCCCTCATCCCTACCAGCCTTTGTCCTTTAGCAATAGTGCATCAGCAGGCAGCATCAGAACCTCTGAAAGGCTGAATCATGGACGGCTCTCGCTCTTCAATCACCAGTTTTTGGATGTCGACTCAAGAATCGATACCCATTCAAGTTTAACAAAATCAACAAAATGGTAATTTTAAGTTCTATAGTTTCTTACCTTCAAATCAATTATTTTGTTTGATGAATGATGATTGAAGCTGAATTTGAGAGTGAATTGGTGGTATGATATATATTAAAAAAAAGTTGATAGAATTTTCTCTCATACTTCAATATTTTTGTCAAAGATGATAAGAACAAAGTAACCAACCAACTTTACTTAGTAAATCACGGAGTTTCTTCGTCTTGGCCTCCATTAATGAAACATCTTTCAGACGGTTAATGTCATATGAAACTGCAGTCAGAGAGAAAAAATGATGAAGCATTAGGTAGTGGACAAAAGAAAAAGAAAGAGAGGAAAAATAAAAAAGAAAAAGACAGAGTAGGTAAGGAATGGCTTGAAGAAGAAAAAGAAATGAGGGATTAGGTATACGACTGAACAAGAAAAGAAAAGAAAAAATAAAAGATAAGCTTACATATGGATACCTTAGATGAAGATGAAAGGAGAGTTGAAATGAATGCAATTAATAATATGTACTATTATACATAGTGATAAAGTATTCCATCTCTCCCATACTACCTGTGTGTATTCCCATTTTGAGAACAGCGCGCTGATGGGATGGCAATGATCCCATAATGAGAGATGAGTTTGAGCTCAAATTTAAAAACTGACCACATCATTACCAAATTAAATAACCAGTCGATCAATGTTGTTGGTAAATTCAAATATTCAGCAAAAGAAAAAAGAACTTTTTAGGTACCATAATTAAAGAAAGATTAATTAAGATTAATATATTTTATTTTGATCATTTTTATACAAGGTGAGTTCTTTTATTTAGTCAAAGTAGTGCTTAGTTAGTAACAATTAGAAGCAAAAAACAAAAACAGCAGCTAGATGCTTAGGCAAGCATCTTACCGTAGATATGAACGAGGTAGGTACGAGGCTGAGCCGAGAAGAAGGAAATAAACAATCTTTCAAGGGCGGCTAAATTTGGACTAAGAGTATGCTCCAAAGCGGTTTTTTGCTAAATATTCAGAAGCAAAAAATGGTATTATAGTATAGGAGCTGTGATGGGGGCGTCATATAGACAACAAAATCTTATAGACCACAAAGTCCCGGCTCCCCCTTGTTTGTAATCTTTCGCGGCACCACCTAAGAATCTCTATATCCTAAGAAACCCTATTTTGAAGGAATGTTATCCCCAGATCCTTGTCTAATATATATACCTCCACGTGCTCTGAGTGTGTCTAATCATTGGAAGCCACACTCCATACACATTCCTATAGGTATTTATCTCATAATAACTCTTCTCATATGGCTTCCTCTCAGACAATTCAATCGTGTTCTGAGCATAAGATTGCTGTAGCTGATGAAACCTATCAGTGGATGGAACGTGAGCAACGAGCTCAGTGGCTTCGAGCAACCATTCTAGGAGCTAACGATGGGTTGCTTTCGACCACATCCCTAATGCTTGGTATAGGTGCAGCAAAAGATGATAGAAGGTCCATGATCCTCTCTGGACTAGCTGGAGCACTTGCAGGTGCCTGTAGCATGGCTGTTGGCGAGTTTGTTTCTGTTTCAACCCAAAGAGATATTGAACAGGCAGCTTCTGCCTGCTGCACTTCAAAAACTGACACAGGCATGCAAGATGATCATGTCAAGAAGCATGATATGACTTCCAGTCCGACTACAGTTAAAGCAAGCAGGCTAACAGAGACAAACTATGGCATCTTAGATGCCCTGACTTCTCCAAGGAATGCATTATGCAGGAACCTGACCAGTGAGCGTACAGAAAAAATGTCACCTTCGGTTGTAATTGTTGAGCCAAATTTGCCCCAAGGTTTGTCTCCCAGTAGGTCTCCTATAATAAAAGTGATGACCGAAGATTTAAATAATAAAGCAGTAGGAATATTGATGCAAGATCATCACAAGGAAAAAGGACTGCCTAACCCGTACAAGGCCGCTGCTGCATCAGCTTTGGCATTTTTATGTGGGTCAGTTGTGCCTCTGGCATCCGCTGCTTTTATTGCACAAAATGTTATTCGGATTGTGGTGATTGCAGTGGTTACATCTATAGCTCTTGCCTTCTTCGGGTGTTTTGGAGCTTATCTTGGTGGCTTACCAGTTAGCATGTCAGCAGCGAGAGTTGTGGTTGGAGGGTGGATTGCGATGGCAATTACTTACGGTTTGCTTAAGCCCTTCGATGGAGATCATGTCGGCAGCGGCACTGATTAGGGCTATCTGTACATAGTATAATAATCTTCTTTTATGAATCCTTTTAACGGATAGTTTAATTAAGAAATGAGACACTGAAAGAGATTATAATAATTAAGAAAATATATATATTTTGAAGAAAATTGAAAATATGAATAATGACCAGATGGTATGGGAAGATGGTTATCATTTAATGCCTCTTCCTGTCACACTAATATACCTGCGCTATACTCGCACATTGTCATAAGTTAAAAAAATTTTTTCGTAGTTATTATATTTTTTAAAATTTTATTTAATTAAAATTTAAAAAAAATAAACGAAAATGATACATAAATATTTTAATTGGCTTTTTTTTCCCATAAAATTTATCTACTAAAAAAATAAAAATTTAAAAAACTAGGAGATCGAAAAAATAAAATAAAAGAAAGTGAAAAAAACTAAAAACCTAAAAAATAAAAGAAAATAAAAAAAAAGCTTATAGAGCGTGATATATTGACACTTCAAATTAAGTTTAGAATATTAAGCTTTTAAATTAAAGTTAAAACATGACTTTGTTAATATAGCATATATGTATCAAATTAAATAAATTATAAAATCTCATAAACACGCTTCTTACCCAATATCGTTTCTTTTATAAAAAACTCAATCTGTCTTAAATTAATCATGATTTAAAAAAAAAAGTCCTTATTGGATCATGATGGATCAAAACCAGTTACATATGATTGTTTTGGCATCACTATAAGAAAATGAAAGATTAGTGATAATTTTGTAGTGACGTTTTACTTACAAACGTTGCTAGTTTCTGTGTTTTTATAAAACTTAAAACGTTTATTATCAAAACGCCATTAAATATTCAAATAGCGGTGTTTTTACTTATAAACGTCACCCAAGACTTGAAATTAGCGGTATTTTTCAATTAAAATGCCTTCAATAATCCTGTCTTAAAAATTTGAGTGAATACTAAAGGTATTTTTGGCAGAAAATGGCTTGAATAATCTTGTTAAAAAAATTGATAGGGAATTACTAAAGGTAATTTTGGCAGACAACACCTTCAATAATCCCCTCATAAAAAAATATATGCAATTATTAAAGGTGTTTTCTACAAAAAAAAAATCCCTTTAATAATTCCACCAAAAAATTTTACAGGCTTATTGAAGGTATTTTTTTGTAAAAAATGCCTTCAATAAATATTATATCAAAATTTTAGGATCGTACAGATGTTAACCATAAGGTGGTAGGTTCGATCCTTCTCTTTAGCTTTTTTTGAGTTTTTACAGAGATTATTTGTAATTGATTATTCTATGCATTTTCTTGGCAAAAACACCTTCACCAATTGTTTTAATAAATTTTGGAGAGAATATTAAAAGCATTTTTCACAGAGAAATACTCTTAATAATCTATAGAAAAAATATGAAACCAATTTTTGAAGGTATTTTTTGTCGAACTCGCATTTTATAATCCAATCAATGAATTTTTAGCTAGGATTATTAAAGACAGTTTTTGTCAAAAACGCTTTCAATAATCCATAGACAAAAGTTGAAACGGATTCTTAAAGGCATTTTTGGCTCAAAATGCCTTTAATATTTTAGACGATAGATTTGAATGATCGGATTATTGAAGGTAGTTTTTTCTAAAAACGCCTTCAATAACATTTTGTTAGAGATTATTTAAGGCATTATCGGTAGGAAAATGCCTTTAGTAATCCATTCAATTAATTTTTAGTTGATATTATTAAAGGGAGCTTTTTTTAAAACACCTTTAATAATTCATACAAAAAAGTTGGAATGGATTCTTGAAGGCATTTTTTGCCTAAAAAGGCCTTTAATATTCCATACAATAAAATTTTAGGTGGGATTATACCAAAACCGCCTTCAATAACATTTTGTTAGGGATTATTGAAGGTGTTTTCTTGTTAAATATGCCTTTAATAATCTATAAAAAAAATATGAAATTGATTCTTAAAGGCGTTTTTAGGTGAAAGCGCTTTTAATAATCCAATAAATAAATTTTTAAAAGAAATTATTGAAGCTGATTTTTTTCAAAAATGCCTTCAATAATCCATACACAATATTTGGTACAATTCTTGAAGGCATTTTTTTTCTCAAAATGCCTTTAATATTTCACATAATATATTTTTAAGTGAGATTATTGAAGGCGATTTTGGTTAAAAACACCTTCAATAACATTTTGTTAAGGATGATTCAAAGCATTTTCTTGCTAAAAATGCTTTTATTAATCCCATCAAAAAAACATATTTGATATTGTATATGTCAAGTTAGTTGTAGATTTATACCCAAAAAACATTTAAAGTCAGTTGTATATTTATGCTCAGAAAACATTTGGTTTATATATGTGATATTATGAATTACATTTTAGAATTTACATAATAAACATTGTTGTATTTAAATAAATTGACCACACATCCGAAATTAAAACTGATAACGTTGCCATATTAATATACTTTTATGAAATAATCATACTCAATAATATATTAAGTATATATAATGTATTCATATTAAGTATACCAATAATATTAAATCAATACCCCAATGTACAAACTTAAAGTTTTCATTCAATATGGCATATTAAAAACATTATAACAATTTGTTCCTCATATATTTACATTCAACCAATAATGTCTAACCTTAAAGTTTATCAACATTGATAAATGATAATACATACCCACACCATTCTTTACAAACTTCATCCAGGTCCTCTTCCATGAAGCTTTCTTTATTCTCCACTAAAAAGAAAATCAAAAGTAAATATTAATAAATGAGAACATAATATACCTTTTTTTATTTTTTTGAAGCTATAACGAGTTTGTGAAATTTGTACTAACCTTGAATGGTGTGGTCATAAAATCATCTGACACTATCTCCCATATAAAACGAAGGATATAATATCCATATTCAATATTACCTGGTTGACGAGGTACCTGAAAATTAAATTGGGTGGATTTAGAAAATATTTATCTACACAAACTCAGCATAAAAGAATAAATTTTACATTTACCGGTAATGACACCAATTTCAATTTTTTTGTTTTCTTATTGAATGCAAATATTACCCTAAATTGGAAAGAAAAAAATTTACTTAATACATAAATTAAAATAACTTATGAAGAAATAGAAGATATATAATATAATAAAATGTAATACCTCTTTATAAAAGTTTGAATATCAGGGCTAGGCATTGCCGTTGGATTAACTGAATTAAGTAAGTATGGTGTTAAAGATTTGGTGTCAATCACAATAAGCACCCAATGATGATTACAACATAATAATAATGATATATTTAGATTATGCATTAGATTAGATTTGGGTAAGGTTAGAATAATTAAGGTTGGAATATAACTTACTGCGCATTATATGGAAGCAAATAATAATCAGCTGATCTTTTCATGCTTTAGATCACATGATTAGCACGATAAGCGATTATGCCACTCTGCTCACTAATGAAGTTGGGGTCAACGAATCTAAATATGTTGGTCAACTGTGCACGATAACAATCAACACTACTAGTTAGTATTACAGCCTAATATAGATTATCACATATTGAATGCGTATATTTGTATTTATAAGCTAACATCATATAAGCAACAATATCAACAGTTGATAATTCATCCATTTTTTATTAGTTGAAACTAATGGGATAATAGTGTACCGTTTTATTTCTTAATGAATGCATGTTTTCTTTTCTTGACCAAAAAAATGGGAAAAGTATGTTTGAGAAATTTAAAATGATATTAATGTGGATTAGATGAAGAAGAGCATATAAGGAGTAATAAATAGCTAGGGTGGTTGGTGATGCTACTGGAAAACTTATAAAGCAATAAGCTAGCAACATTCCATCTACTATGGCGTATTTATTTATATATTAGTACGAGATTATGATTATGATTGTGAGTGTTTGGAGGAAGCTAGTAAATATTGATTGGTCATTTTTCAAACAAAAAACTTTTATGGGCTAAATTATTATTTTAGGGTCATTATGGGTTGGGCCTTAGTTGCTTAAAGGTTCGAGAAAAAAGTGGCGACATCGTTTCCAACAAGTACTAACTATCTATCTATCTATCTATCTATGTATAATGAGTTAATAACACCTATAATTCATAAAAATTGACTCAAATTCTATTTTGGTTTTTAAATTTTAAAAAATTTTAATTGAATTTTAAATTACTCAAAGTATCTTATTTTGATTTTTTTATTATGAAATTATTTAAATTGATAACAAATACCAGTTGGTATTACGTGATGATATCAACTAGCATCTAATGTAATAGATGAGAAATCAAAATATAATTTTCTCAAAGTTTAAGGACTAAAAATGAAATTATCTCAAAGTTTTATATATTTTATATATGTTTTATAAAAATATTAAATTTAAAATTATATTTGCATATTTTTGTTGTAATATAATTTATTTGATAGATTTTTGTTTTAAATAAAAAATAGATATTCAAAACTTAAAATTAAATTAAAAATTTCAAACTCCTTTTTTTTAAATTTTATACATCTTAAAAACAAAAAAAAAATTTATTAAAAATATTATTTTACTCATAAGTCATAATAAAACATATTACTTTTTATCCAAAAATTTTATTTTTTAAAATATTAAATATCTTTTATGTTTTTCTTTTTAAATATATTTTATAAAATACATTTTATAAAAGAGAAAAAATAAAAAATGCTCTAAATTATATTTTTTATTTTATATGAATATAAAGTTTTTATATTTTTTAATAGAGAAATAAATCTATTTTTTAAAATGATCTGAAAAATTTTGTATAAATTTTTAACATGATCTAAAGTTTTTATTTAATTTCTTAAACCGCTATAAAAGTTTTTACTTAATTTTTTAAAATGATATGTAATTTTAACAAAATTATTTTAAAATTTTCAACTTAATTTTAATTTTTTAAAAATCTATTTTCTATTAACAATATTATTTTATTGATTAATCATATCATATAAAAATTAAAAATATTTTAAATTATAATATTTTATAAAATATATTTGAAATATTTTAAAATCAATTTTTTCTTGAATTAGTTTTATCTTTTTTATTTATTTTTTGTAAAATATATTTGAAAAATAAAAATAAAATATATTTAATATTTTAAAAAATATATTTTATGGATAAAAATAATATTTTTACTATGATTTATAATTAAAATAATATTTTTAATAAAAAATAATTTTTTGGCTTTTAAAATAACATTTAATTTTTTAAGAAAGAATTTGAATTTTTAACTTAATTTTAATTTTAAAAAATTAGTTTCTATTAAAAAATATAACTAATAAATTATGTTACAACAAAAAATAAAAAAATATTATTTTAAATTTAATATTTTATAAAATAAATAAAATTTTAATATAGTTTTTTCTTTGATTTTTAAATTTTAATATAATTTTATTTTGATTTTTCATTAATCACATAAGATGCTAATTAACATCGGTGTCGATTAATATTTACATCAATTAAATGGTTTTATAAATGAAAAAAATCAAAGTAAAATAATTTTTAATAATTAAAAATCTAATTAAAATTTTTTTAAATTTAAAAATTATAGGTGTTACTAACCCATCTATAATTAACAACTTTGGCAATTGTGCATGTGGGCGTTGAGCGGTGGCATCGGAACACAACCGCAGAAGAAAAAGAAAAGAAAGCCTAAAGAACTGCGTGATGAAACAAAATTTCCAACTCTGGCGGTTTTGTTTTCTCTCGTCTTTCTTTCATCTTCATATATAAAATAATATTAAATAATATTATTTCGACTTTTTCTGGGAAAACTGAAGAGAATTTGGGTATCCTATAGTAAATTTTTAGGGATTAATTAGATTAGGGTTCAGGATTCGTTCTTCTTCTACATTTTTGAAAGCAGGCAAGTCTCTCTCTTTCTTCCTCGTTCTTCTTTTCGTATTTAGTGACTTTATGCAATAAATTCGTAAAGATTATTTATTGTTTCTTTTGATTGATTCATAAGCCTTTAAAATTTTAAGAGAATCAACCTTAGACACCAAAGTTGAGGTTTTTTCCATTTCATTTTCTTGTTAGGGATTATTTGCATCACCTCATCAATCGTTTCCTTAATGGAATCTACTAAGGAAAACAAGGAGGCCGAACTAGCTGTTCCAGGTGCTTCCCACTCCGATAAGGGAGACCATCCACAGCTTCACCAACATCTTTCTTCTCCTTCCTCCATGCCTTTGGACCCTAACTCCATAAACTCTCACACTGGGAATGCCAATGCTGATAACAACATACAACCGCATTCTCCGAATGACCAACCTTCACTGAAGCCTGCTATAGCAATCCCACCTAATGTGAAATCTGAATCCTGTGCTAAAACTTACTCCCTTTCTTCCTCCAATCATATTCAAACTACTGAAGCCACCATTAATGTTAAAACTGAAACCTCCGCTGCCACACCTCCTAAATTCACTACAAATCCCAAAACTGAAACTTCTTCTGCATTACATCAAAGTAAAACCAATTGTGATGGTGACCCCATACCTGCCTGCCCTAATGAACCTGAACCGCTTGCGCCTTGTCCATTTTCTGATATGAAACTGGTGAAGGAGAAGGTGGAAGATGTGAAGAATGGGGTCAATAAACCTGACTTACCTACAACCCCTGTTAACAGGAACCGCAATTCCGAGCTCTCATTTCTCTTGGATGACATTCATTTTTCTGATGGCAATGAGTCAGGAACAGAAGAGGAGCAATCAGTCTTCATGAAGCAACTGGAAATTTTCTTCAAAGATAGAGGCATGGAATTTAAGCCTCCTAAATTTTATGGTGAAGGACTCAATTGCCTTAAGTAAGTTTATTGGTACTTGCATTATTGTTTCATATTTGCATCTATGATGAGTTGTGAAACTTCTATTTTACTGACATTTATTCATCTTTTACGTGGATAAGGTTATGGAGAGCTGTTACTAAATTGGGTGGCTATGACAAGGTATGCAGTGTTTTCCCTTTATTAAATTTTATAATTTTCACATGCATTGTGCAATTGTACTTCTATGAATTGTATATGGTTTTAGGGTGGCCAAGTTAAGTAATGCAGTATGATTGGAGCTGGCAATTACCATATTTTAGTAATTTCAAGGGGAATAAATTTATTTTACCATGTGCATGAAATATTCAGTTATGGCTCCAGTCCATGCTCCCCCCCCCCCCCCCCCCACACACACACACACTTCTGTTCTATTTGGATCTTGTTTGGCATTTTGTAAACAAATTGCCTGGAAGGTAATCAAGTGTACTTTTTTGACAATATGCTGTTTCAGTGGAATGCTAGTCAATAATCTTGGTATCACCACTTTTTTGGGTGTAAATTCTTCTTAAGGGAACTATCTCTTTCATAACCTTACTTTTTCTCCTGTAATTATTCAAGGTCTTTATTGGTTTATGTTAGATTTCTGAATTATTGGAAAATACTACATTTCTACTTATAAGTTTTTGCTTTTTGAGTACTTATATTTGATTAGAAAAGTGTATACAAATTTCAGTATGATACAATATATTCACTCTGAACTCATTCCTCTCTCTCTCTCTCTCACTCTCTCACTCTCTCTCTCATACACAGACACATTTTTGAAGAACTTCTGTTAAGCCAAGTATGTATGTGTGTGTGTGTGTGTGTGTGTGTATATATATATATATATATATATATATATATACATGTATATGTATATATATCATGCCACTTCAATCGTGTGGATCACTCTGATAACTGTATTCTTTAAATTGAACTCTTTATACGCATTCTTTTTATTTTGCAAATGTGGATATAAACCACTTTTTGACTATGGATAGGTAACTTCATGTAAATTGTGGCGGCAAGTGGGAGAATCTTTCAAGCCCCCAAAGTAAGCAGCAAGATGCAGAGTTACTCAGTTTTGTTTTTTAGCTTGCATTTGCAAGTTTCCTTATTTAAGAAATTGATATTGTGGTTCAATTGATTATGTTTAATATCATTTATGAACTTTAGTTATTTAAGGACAATTGTTGCTTATTACAAAGTGAAAACGTTATATTTTCCTTTTTAAGCTTTCTCTCTCTCTCTCTCACCACGAAGGATCGATGATAGTTATATCTTCTCTGTTTCTCTGTTTCTATTTGTGCAGGACCTGTACTACCGTTTCATGGACATTTCGTGGCTTCTATGAGAAGGTATTTTACATTGTGAATCATGCATGCTTAGGCATACAATCTTGCTTCTCATTTTGTGTTTGTTATTGTTCCTGCATGGCTCTGTACCTTTAATTATACTGTTCTCTATACCGTGCAAATTGCATTGCATAGAATTAAAAAAAAAAATGGGAGAAAAGGGGCTCAACTTCCTTTCAATACCTTCCTGGTGTCATACTGGAACATCAAGTGGAGTGTCTTTTTGGTGATAGATTTTGGCATGATATGCTATGCTGTAAGTTTCTGTGTGGCTCTGTTATTTACTTTGTGCTTCACGTATATTCTATGCAAAATTGGGTTTTATGGCTTGTTTCCTTCATATAATTGAGACAGTTCTTATGCCATGCTGTACATAATTTGTTTATGGTTTTTGTGCTTGTTCAGGCACTCCTTGATTATGAAAGGCATAAGACACGTGGGGGTGAGCTTAATATACCTATTCCTTCCCAATCAGAGTCTATGAATGTTGATAACCAGGTAAATCTTTCTACTATCAGATTTCAAAAAAAAAAAAAAAAAAAGAAAAAAATATGGATTTAGATTGTGGCCAGTTTATGTGTGTTTAAAAGTATTCAACTTTATGCAATCCTGTTTTCCCAACCTTATCTGTTTGAAAGTTGTATGGTGATCTTTTATACTTTGCAAAGCTTCTTACCTTTTGCATCTCTAATTAGAATAGGCTTTGTGAGGTTTATCTTTCTTAATTATTCCTTCCAACATTCTTTATGATTCTGGTTGTAATTAGGCTTCACGATCTGGTAGAGCACGAAGGGATGCAGCTGCACGTGCTATGCGTGGTTGGCACTCACGTCATTTCCATAATGGTGAAGTCAGTGACCCTATAATTAAGGTGTGTGTGAAAGTTGAGTGTGCAATTTGTCTCCTCTATTTTTCCTATTCATCCATAAAGTGGGAAAAAGAGGGAAATAAGAGCTATGCTTCTCCTTTTCCAGTGCATTTTCAAGCGTAATCTTTTGATCATTATATAATATTATATTGCAATTTATCCTTTTATTGTAGGATAAGAATTCTATTTCTCTGCAAAAGCGTGAAAAACAGCTTAAAAGCCTAGGTATGTCCTTTAAACCCGTTTTTCTTTCTGTCTTTTTGAAAGCTGGTGAAGATTTATGAAGCTGGATTCTCGTGTATTAATGCAGGTTTGCTTAAACGTAAGAAACCATATTACTTGGACCATGCTGTCAAGGCTGCACGTTCCAAAGTATCTAAGGCACAGTTAAGATCCATGTTATATTTTATGGGTTTTGACTATGAGCTTTAACAATTTGTTTGAGGTAAAATAATTTTGTGTAGCTCCTTTGGATGCAATATGTTGACTTTATTCTTAATTGGCCAGTGTGGAGACAGAGATAGTTGATATTGGACCCCCAGCAGATTGGGTTAAGATCAAAGTGCAGAAAACTGTAAGTTTCTATGCCCCTTCTCTCCAGAAATGACGTGTATTTCTGGTTTTTGACCGTTTGAGCTGTTCTGGTTTTGCAGAAAGATTCTTTTGAGGTCTATGCTTTAGTTCCAGGCCTTCTTCGAGAGGAGGTCAGTAGTCAGTACACATACCCTTAAAACTATGTATGGTTGTCATCTTCTTTCATGAATTTTGATCATGAATCATGAAACTAGTTAAAACTTTTTTTTTCCTGGTGATGAATTTAATACTAAATTTCCGGACTGTCTCTATGGAAGTTTTTCTTATGTGGTTATCTTGCAATTTTAGGTGCGTGTTCAATCTGATCCTGCAGGGCGCCTAGTAATAAGTGGTGAACCCGAACATCCAGACAACCCTTGGGGTGTCACACCATTCAAAAAGGTATGTACTATACAAGAAGCTAGAAAATAACATATTCTAGGATGGCAAGAATATTCTAATTGCTTTATTAGCAAGAATAAACTTTCCATTGTCTTTTTCTGGATGTCATTATTATGAATATATTTATATGCCGTGTCTTATTCTCTTCTGTGAGTTTCACATCCATGAGGGTGAAATGAAAAGATTTTAAAGTTGACTCGTATTATTTATTTCATATAAAAAACAGTTTGAAGAAACCCTTGTTTCCTGTTTGCTTATTCAGTCCAATATTTTATCAAAATTGACTAATCCTTGAAATATATTGGTTCTATTTCATTTTTTCTAAAAAAAAAGAAAAATTAATATCAAGATACTTTAAACTTCCCAAGAGAACTATTGTATTTTGATTCATCCGTATAAACATCCTTCTCTCATTCATTTAGCTTTTATTTGAAATAATTTTATTTCGAGTTAGTTCAAAGTGCCAGTTAAGAAATCAATCATTTTATTTGTTATAGACATCATTTTTTCTGGTAGATTTATGACCAGTCAGACTCAAATCTGCTGTTCTAGCCAATGTTAGGGACAGTCTAGAACTTTTCCGAAGTTCTTTTACACAAATTCTAATTTTATTGTGGCTGTGATGCCACTGCCCTAGTCATTCATCAATGCTGTCATTCTACCATTGTTACTCCCATTAAACCACTGTTGTTACTTTGCAACTAATAGTAGCAAGGTGCTGATCACAAGCTAGCACTATTTCACGTTGGAATTATTATTAAAATTGGGAAAGAAATTTGATCGTGGCTGTGATGCCACTCGTCACCCTTCACTCTTCCCCCCTCCCCCTCCCCCTTTTTTTTTTCCTTTTTTTAGAAAATTGTTTTCTACATTTGATTTGTAATTAATTAGCTCTTCATAATGCCGAAAAATTTGTTTTCTGATGTTAGGTTGTCAGCTTGCCCTCAAGGATTGACCCACATCAAACGTCAGCGGTGGTAACCCTTCATGGACAGTTGTTTGTACGTGTTCCATTTGAGCAAAGCTGACCGGTGGAATTATGGTGTGTGCTCCACCAACTGGGTGAAGAGGTGAGGGAGGGTGACTAAGATTAAGCCTGACTGCCAGGGGCTATTGAACGCAATGTGTGGTGCTTTCATGCTTTGCCCTGCCTCTGCCGCTCCATTCAGGAATCGCCGCAATTTTTAATTACGAGCCTTGTGTAGTTTTTGATTGTCGTTTCTAACGTTACTGTTGTTTCGCATATGACACCATTTAGTTTAAGCCCTTTTTTGTTTAGTGTATATGAGATATACATATTACATGCACGTTATCATTTTATTCTTAGGGGAAGTTGTACATCGCAGATTCTATAGATGTTCTTTTCCTTTTTCATGAAACATCTTTATCATTTACCACTGGTAGTAGGTATTTGTTAGTACAATAAAAACCGTAATCTGAGATAAAGGACTATAGATGTTCTTTTCCATTTCACGAGACATCTTTTTATTGACTACTGCTTCTAGTTCTGTTTCAAGTACAATGGAAATCGTAATCTGAATGGAACTGCAATTTCAGATAAAGAAACGATTACTGATTTTATAGATTTGTTTTTACTTTCAGGAAACATCTCTTTGATTGACTACTGCTATTAATTTTTTTTAAAGTACAATGGTTATTGTAATCTGAATGAAATTTTAATCTGAAACTTGAAGTAAGGATTGTAGACATTAAATTAAAATTTAAAATTGTTACATTTTATCTTTTAGGAATAACTGTATAAATTGAAATTGAATTTTTGAGTTTTATTATTAGTTTTTATGACAACGAGATGACGACAATTGTGGCAGATCCCATTGTAATGTTCATTAAATCCCATGTCTTCAGATATGATGACAACTGCACGGCACTCTCCTCTACCCTTTCTCCAATAGATTCTACTACGGTACGACAATTACCACCATACCCTGTCTACTATGCTATTTAACAAAAAAATAAAAAATGACTCGGTAATACAACGAAATAATCATTTCTTAACAGTATTTCAGAGTAGAAAGGTTGAACAATTAAACAAGATTTCTTGAGTTGAAACTCATAACATTACAAGCAGCTAGAAAGTTAAGGAAAATGCTTCTCGATGCAATATATAATTAACACCACAAAATAATGGGTAATTATACAACTTTCAAAACTAATGAACGAGTCTGAACATTACAAGGCAGTCACCATTGATGCCAAGTCCAAGTCTTCATCTGAATCAATCACGTCCTCATAGTCATAGTATGCATTGACCTGCATATGAGGTTCCATTGCATTAATTAGATGTTCACAGAACATAGTTTGATCAGATAAGGGTATCCTTTCCATCAACTAGCAAATCTAAACCCATTAATACAAGCAAATTTTGGTCTTTCAAGTTTTGTGTTAGAAGGTTGGGATTAGAATGCCTAAATATATTATTGGTGTTTACATTTTATAAAAGCCAGTTTGATACCTTTGGTCTTGGGGCTATTGCTTCAAAACTATGGAATTCAGGATTATCAAAATCAGGGGGCTTCAGTACAACATATGCTCCTTTGTTATTGTATCTCTCTTCTGTTGCCTGCATTGTAGAAAGAAAAAAAAATGAATTGTGGCTGATCCAAGAAAAACGCTAAAATCTGCTTTACCAGTCAAATGTCAACAGATACAAGATACTCAGAGAACATGAGACTCCCATAAAGAATATATTGTTCTTGTTCCTACTAGGATTTCATCCAAAGTTTCCTCTATATTTAACAATGGTGTAAAATAGATAGTGCACTTAAGTTGGCATGATTTTATCATAATTTTGCAACTAAGCTATCCCTGGATCTTTATCAGTTATCAGAAATATGTCACACACATTTATTGCTGTTACCTTCGTCCATGAGTGATGTTCGTATCAACAGTGCAGTAAGCAAATAAAATTCCACACCCTTGATTCTCCTACGTCAAAACCAAATTTCTCCAAAGAAGGCAAACAGAGAGAGAGTTCAAAAATCTGAAAGTATTGCCAAACTAAAACTGCAGACACTGATCTCTTTTGTATTTTTAACCATTATTTTAATACCTTTAGGAAGTAAAAATCATGCATAAAATAAAAGTCAGACTATATTACACCCAATAAACAAATTGATTCAAACATAGGGCTTGTCACATATATTTTGTATCCACCACTTCATGGAAATATGATTAAGAGAAATTCTACACAACAAAAATATGGCCAACAATGAATGGTGGAATTCAATGTTAGGCAACTATTCTAAGAACCAACATTGGCAAGAGATGAGTGTAGTTGAGATAAGATAGCTATAATGGATGAGCTGGTATACAAGAAAAGATAGGATTAATATTTTGTATCCACTACTTCATAGTAATATGATTAAGAGAAATTCCATATGACAAAGATATAAGGCCAAAAATGAATGCTGGAACTCAATGTTAGGCAACTAAGAGCCAATATCAGAAAAAGATGTGTAGTTGAGATAAGATAGCATACTGGATATGTTGGTATCCAAGAAAAGAAAGGATTAAAAATGAGTGCAGTTGAAGAATCAAGGAAGCAACAAAACTTGAGTATAAGATAAAGGAGATGCAGGGTTAAAAGGACCTTGCTCTTAATGATCTACACAAGATATGCTCCTAATAGAGCACAATGGCAGAAAAAGGTTCTTTTTGTTGCTAATTACTTTGTATTAATAGGTAATAACTACATCCGTTATACCAAAAGTACAAAATAAAAAAGAAAAAAGTTCCAAAGCATTAACTCATTCTACTTTAGTAATTCACTTGAGCAAGACAAACAGATACCTCAATTATACAGACACAATACATATCAACCTAGGTATATCAAGTTTCTGTCAATTTAAAATATGTATACGCTTTTGAGATTTGATGCATTCAACAAGATCACTAATCCACTTCAAATTTAACCATGTCCAAGTTTATGATTCTACCATACATTGACTAGACCTGCAGAAACAGAACAGCCTTTTACTTCCAATATGGAAGCCCAAAGATATATTTACAGGCATTCAAACCTCCTAAAACACTTCAATGATATCACACAAAGATATCCTATCTTAAACACCACATATAACCACAAAAAAAAACAAATAAATAAATACGTAATACAGAGTCTAGGTACAAATCGACAGATAATATTTGAGAGGATGTTATAGATGAAACTTAAGCCAAAACAAGAACATAAGTTGTCATTTGTCGTAGAGAATCAAAACCAGAAGCCAGGCATTTAAATCTTGAGGGAAAACAAGTAAACAATTGAAGATAATGAAGATACCTGAAATTGTGGGTAGTCAGGAGCACTAAACAGAGTTATCAACTTCCCTGACTCCACATCATGATCTATGGTGTATCCTTCATCCATTCCTGCAAGACCAGGCCTCTTTTCTCTTGCATCAGGGCCTTCATGTGATCTGATGATTAGCTGATGCAATGGCAGCAAACAACAACCACACTATCAATATTTAGCAACTCAATACAAGAGCTAGCTCCTATGGTTAATAGCTGTAATGAACAATAGCCGATTATAAAAATTGAAAGAATCACTGTAACACATGACTTAAATTTCACTCAAACTATTAAAATAATATCAATTACAGTCAAGTTTATTGAACAAAAAGAAAGACATAGTTTGAGAAGCAATAAGAGTATACCAGTTAGTTTTTACATCAGTTTTTACATCATCAAGTTACTATCTTACTGGTACTCTTAACACACTTACACCCAAAGTGCAAGTTTTGACAGGCAAGCCCTATGAACTCATTCACCTAACTAGCACTATAGTAGATATGCATGTTCTAATAATATCCAGATGTGGACTAATAATAAGCATCATCTGCCTACATATAACTTGGACAGGCAATTCTCAACCAGAAAATCTGATTACCATTTAAACAATGCATTCCATCCCGGATTTACATTGAAATCTTGGCCAAAAATGTGGATAAGATGGTGCTTCAAAATTGTCCAGCTCATACCAGAACCACTGCCAACTCCACTCTTTCTACAACCTAATATATTAGGGTCAAAACCTAATTTGAAAGAAATATTCCATGAATTACCCACGTTTAGGCATGAAATATAGCTTGTCCAACCTGAACTGCATTCTGCTGCCATATTTTTTCCACCCTTGCATCTTATTGAGATAAACAGTATTAACTTTCAGCAGTCACTAACATAACTGTATTTCACAGCCTTCAATTAGAAAACCAACATCCATGGATTATCAAACCTTTGTTGATAGAAAACAATTAATGGTTGTAGTTTCCTCTCATACTAAATTACAGATTGAATGCATGACTTTAAAGGATGGAAAACACCTAGGAACATCTTCAACTGGAATAACAGTAAGTTAGATAACATTCCCTTTTTTTCTAAAAAAAATGTAGAACTGATAGAAACATAAATAGCATGTTTACAGAGAGTTAGAGAGAAATAACAGAGTTAGCATCCAGAAAAATATCAATACCAACCAAATATCAGACTGCTTAAATGTCTCTACTAATGTTAGATGAAGAGTAGAGGCAAAAGAATTAATTACACAAAAACCAAATTAACTGTCAGATTTAACCACAAAAGCTTTAAAAAGAAAAAAATAATTATGATATTACCTTTAGTTTGAACTTCTTTAAGAATTCCTCAGTGCAGTCGGGACCCCATAACAAGCCAATACCTCTCTCCTTATTTGGGGAAAGGCCTGGGATCATTGATGGATCTGACCATAGCACATCACCAGGAATCAAATTCAATCCTTCCCATGGAGGATCAAGGACTGATCTTCGAGCTTTAGATAATTCCTCCAAAGAACCAAGACATAAGGAGTTAGGTTCAGGGTTGAGGCTTATCCTACGATTCTTCTTTCCTTTAGACCTCTTTGAAGGGGTGACAGGAATGCTGCGGAAAAGGCCCCCGTGAGCAGTATATACACGCTCAGCAATTATAGAGGCCAAAGGTAGTCCTTCGAAGCAACCCAAACATTTCCTATACACATGCTTACCTTTATCCCCATACTTTGTCAGAACTTCCTTCTCAAATCCATAAACAGAGGTGCAGTATTTGGATTCATGATTTCCACGAAGGAGATATACTCTATGCGGCATGAAAACCTACAAGTATATAATATCTTATCAATTCTACTAGAACAAGTGGATTTGTGGAGAAAATTTGAAAATTGAAAGTACCTTCCATGCTAGCAAGACCAAGAAAGTCTCAAGACCCCAAGCTCCTCTGTCAACGTAATCCCCATTGAAAACAAAGATACGATTTTGGGCTGGAAAGCCAGTATCTTTGAGGAGGAATAGAAGATCATGCAATTGCCCATGAAGATCGCCAACCACCACAACCGTTGAATCGGAGTCGAGGGTCTTGATTTGGAGACAATTAGGTTCTTTGTGCAGGATCTTAGAAGCGGAAAGTATGAGGGCATCAAAAACGGGAACAGGAAACACGGAGGGGAAGGCCGAGGGGGGCAGATTTCTTGAAGACCACTCCAACGCAGACATGATATGCTGGATCCACTCAAGGCTGAGCTTGCCATCAGGGGGCCAAGACAGAGGGACCGGAGCAGCCGAAGGGGGTGGGGAGGGCGAGGGGGAGGGATTGTCGCTGGAGGTGACAGTGGTGGTTGTGATGGTGGTGGTGGTGGTGGTGGTGGTGGAGGGGAAGGCATCTGCATCTCTTGCATTTGGACTGATAATAATGATCCTATTACCGTTATCAGATGACATTATAGTCTTTTTTGTTTTTTTCTTTTTCTTGGAAAACTGTTGTTTTTATTTTCAGATGAGAAACTATTTCAGAAAATGGGAAGCCCTAATTGGAACTTGGAACATACAAATATAAGACTAATACAATTCAAGAATTGTGTTCTTTTAGCTGATGACCTGACCGCCAATCTCCGTGGTCGTTTATGGATAGCCTTTTTTTTTTTTTTTAATTTTTAATATACTCCAACGCTTTTATCTAATTAACTACAAGTTTAACTCATCTTCAATTCGTAATCTTTAAAATTTTAACCTACCATCTTTTATTCTTTAAAATAAAATTTTTTTGTACTTATAAAAAAATAAATGTTGCCGGGAATTGCAATTACTTGTGCAAATATGTTCTTAGTGCCGATATACAAATATAATAATGAATGAAATAATATTATATTTCTACTTCTAAAAAAAATTATATTCTTACTTCTATGTTTGTGTTTAGATGTTTAAGTTAGAAAACAAAAAAAATAATAATAAAAGCTAAAGAAATTAGGTAAATAAAAAAATAAATGATTTATTTTAGTCAGAAAAGAAAAACGGATATTTATATTTAAATTGATGTAGCTAAGTTTGGCATAACATGGAATAAGTATTGGTTGATTCATTCATTCATCTTAAGCAATAGTTCTACACATCAATGTCTCATTAATCTCAGCTAATACAACAACAGATAAAAATTTAGGTACAAAAGAGAACATTTCAAAAGTAGATAAACTGAAAGAAGCACTAGAACCGATGTAGTTTCTTCACTTTCTCGCCTTGCCAGAGCATCAGTACATATATTTACTTCACGAAAAAAATGTGTCATCGTTTTCAACATCATCCTGCAATCACAAACAAGGAAATTAAGGAAATAGTTTATATTTGCATGGTTTGTAATTAAGCTAATGACAACAGTGGCATCCATTTTTATCTCAAGTTTTTGGACTCCGGCTTAGATAGCCAGTTTAAGGCCATCTTTTAACGCCCACAGCTCAGCCTCAACACTTTTTGCTCGTGGGATGTGTCTGGACGATTCTATAACCCATGTCCCTCTTGATCTCTCAAGACTGTCGTTACTCTTGTTTTACCTGGGTTACCTCTAGATAAGCCATCTATATTAAGTTTGTGCCATCCTAGAGGTGGTGGTTGCCACAGTACTCCGATAATCGTGGGCAAATATATTTTCTTTGCTTGCCTAGTTTATGCAAAGTACTCAGTTGCACGTTCAACTGCATTATTAATCACCTTGTTGTGAACTATCCTTCCTTCGAACACAAACAAGAGTCTCATTAATCATATTTCCCCTAGCAAGAATATGAAGATTGTCCGCCATGGGACTTAGTGGATTGTATGCCAGTTTTTTTCATTTGCATTAGCCTTAGCCATTCGCCCCATGTAGTGCTGTTGTCAAACAAGACTTTTGTAGGGGGATTAATGTGATCCCACAAGCCTTTTACCACAGGACATTCAGTAAAGAGATGTGGTAGTCTTTCCTCTTGCCTTTGACAAACAAGGCATATATCCTGATTGTTCATGCCCCTATGCTTGAGGAAACTCCTAGTTGGTAAGATTCAATAGGCACATTCCCAAGTGAAAAACTGTAGCTTTGACGAGATCCGTTGCTTCCATATCCATTTCTATTTGTCTTTTTCCTCCTGGCTAGCATATAGATGTCCGTTTGCCGCTAGTAAATATGCACTACTCAAAATGAACTGACCTTGAAAATTTCCAACGCATAGAATTTTTTCCATTGTCCATAAGTGCAAAAAGAACACTGAGCAAGAGGCGAGTAGTCTTAAAGAAGATGAAAAGAGATTAAGGGTAGCTTTGTAGTGTCAACAACTTGCGTAACCTGTTTCACGGCAACGGTATTTTCTTTTTGCTGTAGGGGGCCTCAATCAAGGATCGTATCATACCTTGTCTGGTCTAGTTATCAAATCAAAAATTAATACTTGAACCATCCTGGACAATCCATTTTATTCCTTTTTCTAGTAGGTGTTGCCAACTTCTTATAGCTCACCAAGTAATAGAGGCGTCAAGGTTTTTTGAAGCATTAGGCATTCTGTTTAGATACTTCTGGCTAAATATCCTAACCCACAAGTCATCTTGCTTACGTAGCATTCACCAACAAAGCCTGGTTAGGAGTGCCTGATTCTTGGGTTTGTTTCTCTTCAATCCCAAACCCCCATCTTCCTTGGATTGTGTCAACTCATGCCAGTTTATTCTATGAAGTTTCCTTGAACCATCCCATTCACCCCATAAAATCCTCTATTGATTTTATCTAACTTAAAAGCACGTAGCTACTGGGATGGACCTACATTGCATATGGTATTAGGAATAGTCGTCATTGTCGGCTGAATAAGAACCATTCAAACCACAGGTGAACGAATGTTAGATTTCCAACGTGCAAGTTTGATCCCACCTTCTCCAAAATGAAATCATAGTCCTGTTTTTTCATTCTTTTATTGTGCAAAGGGAAGCCCACATACTTCCCTATGGCTTCTTTATTTCTAATGTCAAGGGAATGAATGATCCGCTCCTTTCTTTCAGTCTTAGTGTTGTTTGAGAACAATATTATTGATATCTCCAAATTGATTCTTTATCCTAACTTTTTCATAAAGATGTCCAGTACCTTCTTAACGGCACTTGTTGATTTCTTGTCAGCTCTGGTGAAAAGGATAACACCGTCTGTAAAGAATAGGTGAGATAGTTACGTTCCTCCTCTAAAGACCTTTATGGGACACCATCTTTCTTTGGCACTAGCATTTTGAATATGAAGATTGAAATATTCCATACATAAGATAAAAATATAAGAGGACAATGTGTCCCCTTGTCGGATTCCTCTTAAAGGGTGGAAACTATCCAGCCTGCCACCATTCACCAGAATTGCTAGGCTTGAAAATGTGATATAATCCATGATTGAGGTAATCCACTTCTCAGGTTAATTGCAATACGTGAGAACGTTCGTAATAAACCTCTATTCCAATCGATCATAAGTCTTCTCGAGGTCAAGTTTTAAAATCATATTCCCATAGCATTTCTTAGACTATAATGACACTGTCTACCGCATGTCTTCTTGGGATAAAGCTTCCTTGAAGTGGGGAAATAAGTTTGCCAAAGAAGGGCTTCAATCTTTAGACCAAAATTTTTATCACGATCTTATAAGTGGTGTTAAGAACTCTTACAAACCTGAAGTGGTTAATAGAAGCGGGTGCATGGCTTTTTGGGATTAGGGTGATCAAAGTGCTATGCATTCCTTCTTGTGTTTTACCACTTTTGAAGACATCCATGATTGTTTCACAAACTTTATGCTTGACATTGGACCAGCAGTGTTGAAAGAAAAAAAGGATGGAGCCCATTTGGACCGGGAGCTTTGATTGGCTTTCGGCACCAAATAGATTTTTTAATCTCGTTTTCAGTGAGCAGGGCTTGAAGTTGATATGCCTCATCGTTAATGATAGCTACCCATTTGAATTCACTATAGTTAGTCATTCTCATCTCCATCTGTCTAAAATTCTCTGAAGTGGTCCATTATGATGGTTCTGAGGCCCTCTCGCCCGAGACCTAGGTGCTATTGGTATCATATAATCCATCAATTTTGTTCTTTGAACATCCAACCAAGGTTGTGAGATGAAAGAACCTTGTGTTGTGTTCCCTTTCAATTATCCAATTTACTATCGACTTCATTACCCATAAGAGTTTTTCGTGCTTAAAGATCTCTTGATTCTCCCGTATCAAGGTATTTTGAAGCTTTAACAAATACTCATTCGTTCTCATGTTCAAAGCTTTCTCAATACTTTCAAGCCTGACCATGGTTTTTCTTTACCTATGAAATATGTTTCCAAAAGTTTCCTTATTCCAGTCTTTAAGGTAGGTAGTAAACGACTTGATAGTCTAACTTATTTTCTGGTTATTTGGACCCTAATAGTTTAAAAGGACATTGTGGAAATCTAGGTGCTCCAGCCATATTCTTTGAAACCTGAATAGCTTAGGACCAAAATCAAGTTGGTTGCCTTTTAGGACTATAATAACTAGGCAGTAGTTGGTTTTCACTCTAGGAAGATGAGTAACAAATGACTCCAGATACAGGAGCTTCCATGTTAGGTTGGCCATCACATGGTTGATTTTTTCTTGGATGAGTTGTTGAATATTCCTTAAGTTAGACCATGTGAACTTAGGACCTTTAACCAAGGTCAAATAGGTTACAATTATTGAAGCATGCATGAAATTCACGTAATTTGCTAGATGAAACAGGTAAGCCTCATTTCTTTTCATCAAAAGATAAAACTTCATTAAAATCCCCCGCTAAAAGCCAAGGTAAGTTATGTTTAGAAGCAATAGTTTCTAGATTATCTCCTAGAATTTTTCTTTCTTTTAGTTTAGGGCTAGCATAAATAGCTAAAAAAAGCCAAGAGCAGTTAGAAGAAATTACCTTCACTGATGCATGGATTTCTTGCTCGATTTGGCAAAGTTTATTCACTGTCACCATGTCTGATCTTCACAGCATCCATATCTCTCTTGGTATACCTCAATATCTTTACAAGCATCGAAAGGTAGGTCGTCGATAATATGACAGACATCTCATCTTCTTACCTTTGTATCGGTAATTACCATGATTGTGGTTGGTGATAGTTTGCCAAATTTCTAGCAGTTTTCACAAAGTCAGTGTGTCTAGCCCCTTAATTGTTCCATATGAGGATAGACATAAGGTCAAGAAAGGTTGGGGATTTTGGTAACTTCGTGAACAAGTGTGTGTTCCGATCTTTTGTGTTTGCCAACCCCTCTTGCAATGATTTCCACCTTGTAAAGTAGGGTTTCCAAGCCTTATACCGCAAGTAAGCTCGCATAAATCTTGAAATTAATGGTGAATAGCCTTGTCCACTACAAGTTTGACCACCGAAACTTGGGTGTTCTTTATGTGGATTTCTAAGGCCCTCTCTAAGAGAGGTGCTACGGTGTCTCCATTATCCATTGCGAAATTACTTGTGCGCTCATTGGACTCTGCTGGCTTGAAGAGGCTAGCATTCCGAATAAGTGTGAGGTTGGATGTGGAAATGGCAAAATAGAAGGTGGTAAAATCAATATTGATGGAGTGGCCCATAATCTTGAAAGAATCAGTGTCATTACTTGTCATATTGCTGCTTATTGCTCTTGGATATCTTCTATCCCTTGATGAA